GATAGATAGATAGATAGATAGATAGATAGATAGATAGATAGATAGATAGATAGATAATGAGGGAGAGGTAGAGAGAGACAGACAGACAATGAGATAGATGATAGATAGATAGATAGATAGATAGATAGATAGATAGATAGATAGATAGATAGATAATGAGGGAGAGGTAGAGAGAGACAGACAGACAGATAGATAGATGATAGATAGATAGATAGATAGATAGATAGATAGATAGATAGATAGATAGATAGATAGATGATAGATAGATAGATAGATAGATAACCGGTAGAGATAGATAGATGGATGGATAGATGGATAGATAGATACCGGGAGAGAGAGAGACAGACAGACAGACAGACAGACAGATAGATGAGAAAGAGGGAGGGTATACATGTACAAATAAAAAGAGTATAATGGAGGCTTACCAATGTGGAAAATGTTGCAAAGATTATATTTGTGTTTAAAAAATGAAAAAAAAAACCTGTTTAATAAAAACTTTTTTAAAAAATATCATAAAACAAATCAATAAAACCTAACGGAGTTGCAATATTGATAGTATGCCCGACTGCCAGAAACGCACGATTTATACAGTTTTATCTAAGAATTCATGAAAGCGTGAGCTGATCCTAAGGGAATGTTCTGGCTTGCAACATGCCTGTGGAAAGGAGAGACTAGAATTGAATGGAATTCTTTATTGGCCAAGTGTGACTGGACCACCCCAAGGAATTTGTCTTTGGTGCAGATGCTCTCAGAATCCCAAAGCCCTTTCATTACATCATCACCCAGCAAGAGTCAACCAAGCCTGGGACTCAGGACAGAGTTGCTCCTGTATGACTTCACGGGAGTCTGACAACCGGAATACAAGCTGAAATTCAACGCCCAACAGATCTCTTATCTCTCACCTATGTGCCTTTTTTTGGCCCAAGATCTCAAGCCATGGGGTCCTGCCCACCATTAAACCATCTTTCCAAGCAGCCTCCATGTTTCCAGGGTTTTTTCCTCCCCACTTGGAGCTGAACCCAGAGGGATGTTTCTTCCAGGAGTTGCAAGAGCCGAAAGAACTCACCAATGCAACAACCTGAGCTTTATTTACTGGGAGAGAAGTGGGACATACCACATACACCCTCTCCTACATTGTGGCACGACAAAACCGCGGTCCACTAAAGCGCGCCCGATTAAAGCGCGTATCTGACGTCATCAGCAGCGCGACAAATACGACCGCGAAGATTTTAAAAAGCGATTTTAAAGCAAGCCGATTCACGTAAAGGTAAGGTTTAGGGTTAGGGTTAGGTTAAGGGTTAGGGTTAGGTTAAGGGTTAGGTTTAGGGTTACATTAAGCGTTAGGGTTAGG